TATTTAGGGAAACTACCAAATCCCTTTGCTCTGTCTCAACCTAATCCAGCACTTCCGACGCCTCACATGTTGTCGCTAAACCCTAGACCCTACACCATGGACGCTACCTGAACTTCTGCTTGTCCGGCAGCTGTATTCGGACCAGGGGCTGGCTCCTAAAGGAGGATGTACCAGCCTCTTTCTGGGGCTGATCTGGACATGGCTCTAAATATCTGAGGCTATAATAACTTACGGTTTAGGGTTTAGGGTTATGTAGAAGATTTTATGTATATATATATATAGTTTGCATCTGGGTGTTCCAGATCGGCCATAGCTGTGTTTGAATGTCGCCATAGCGACTGTGCAGAAGCTCGGAAATGCCGACGGCAAAGGAGAACCTTGGCCTTCAGCAGGAAAACCATGGGTCCGTTTTAGAGGGTATGAAGCCATAATCGAAATTCCTTAAAAGGGGGTTGTACAGGGGACTATTATAGGGGTTACTAACGGGGATACTAGGAGTTTAGACTCTGGCTCAAGTAGGGTTGACGTTCTATCCGGTTTCCGCACGACGACAGTAGATGCGTGTTTCGAAGTCGTGGATGCCTGGCTATGCCCAAAACCCAAAACCCTGAACCCTAAGCTCAGGTATGCTGCCAAGCGCGTAAGGGAGTTTGGAGAGTCCCTGCTTGATGGCTACGAGCTGCTTCTCGCAGAGCAGCTGAAAAAGCTTCAGGAGGACCGCCCATAGCCTCCGGAGGCCTAGTTTATAGTCCCCCTTGAGTAGATAGAATATGGCTTTCGGTAAGAATATGGCTTTCGGTATATTAAAATAAGATCCCATATACCCCATATTCTGTCTACGAAAGGGCAGGGGGACTATAGGGTTTAGGGTTTAGGGTTTTAGGAGACGTTGGTGTGCAAAAGAGCCTGAAATCCTGGTTTTTGTTCGGAATCGAGGGTTATGTGGGGTTTATATAGGTTTACATAGGATTCCCTCGGGTCATATGAAGATGTATAGGGGATATAAGGGCACTCTGTATGTTTAACTTGGCCCCATAGGCTCTAAGCCCTAAATCCTTATCATGACATCTAGGCCAGGCAAGATGCAACCCTAAACCCTAAACCCTTCTATAAGCCCCAGGAGAGATTCCATGGATCATGCGCCAAATTTGGGTTTAGGGTTTAGGATGGCCGCATGTCTCAAAAGATGCGGCCAAACATGAAAATAGAACATACTATCAAATCCTACCCAAAAAGCCAGCCGGTGTAAACTACCTAGACCCCCAAAAGTAGGCAAAACAAATCGACCAAAATCCGTAACAA